CCGGGCCCCCCCTTATACCGCTGCCGGCCCCCCCCCCTATACCGCTGCCCCCCCCCCCCCCTTATACCGCTGCAGGGCCCCCATTTGAGCCCGGGCCCCGGGAATTAGTCCCGGCTGCCCCCCCTCTAGTCGGCCCTGCATATGAACTGTAATTAGTGGATTTCATATTTGTGGAGTGTTCTTACTAGGTAGAATGGATATGAACTATATTTGTAGTCTGTGCGTAGCTTATATCCATGTGAAAGAAGAAAAAAAAATTTACAAGGGAGGTATTTGAAGGTTTTGTTCATAAAATGAAAAGTTTTAAAAGTAAAATGAATTAATATTGCTTTATTTATTGTATAGGTTATAATTACGATATTGATGTACTGGGTTCAGAAGCAGATTATGCAGTTTGTGATTCACTTTTTAATATTTTTGAATAAATTACGATATTGCACATTTCTTTAAATATCTACGCCTCTGGATTGTGACGTATTCGCTCTACTCTTGCTGTACATTTTTCCGCTTTTACTATCTAATTGGTAAAAACACAGGTTTTGATTGATTGATTAAAATGATATAACCTCGTTATATTTATTTTCTCCCAGATTTTTTTTTTTTAAATACGTTTACAAAGGCAAACTTCAGTGACAGCAGGTCAGGACGAGGGCTTTGAAATGGGTAGGCTCATTATAAATGTATCTGGCAGTCATTGTAAAGGAAAATGGGAAAAAATAAGTGGAGATGCTCGAATTAGCACGATCATTACTTTTTTTGGCCGAATGTATTATAGATCGTCTAAAGGAAAGTTTGAGAGGCTTTGAGTAGCTCTCATATTCAGGTACAAAAACCAACGAACAAAAGAAAAATAACCTGCAAATGAATAACATTTTCGATGGTTTTATACCTTACAGTAAAGGACAAACTATATTATGGCACAGTAACCGAATATTTTATCGTACTTCTAATGCAAGACTATCTTAACACAAAAAATGTAATCCGTGAAATCCTGTTGATTACGATACGGACAATCAATCTACTCAAGTACAGTATATTTTGTCTACGATTTATTAAATAAAACATTTTTTTAACTTTAATTTAAAAATAATTAACACAAAGATTTTGGATTTTATAACTTTTACCAATCTATAAAGACTCGACAATGTTTAATAAAAATCAAAAGGAAAACAAAGAAACTAAAATTAGGTTACAGAATCATGCGGGTGATGGAAATGGCAAAAAATGTCTTCGCTGACGACTTGTTGATTCAAGAAATGAAAAATCTACAAATAAATTTGAATATTTGCAAGTCCATGAAAAGAGAGAACCCTTATAATTAACGTCAATAAAAGTACAGTCATGAATAAAGGGGAAAAACCAACGACGAACACCTACCAGAATATACTTGTTCACAAAAATCGAATTGCAAACATTCACGGTGTCATATACATAGTTGTCAAATATTATAAAAGAGTATGTGAAAGTATTGTTACAAGGATTGTGTTTTCTTGCAACGACGACATGTATGGTTTCAGTAGATGAAGGATCAGGTTTTCTGCTACTATGATTACCTACCTTCAAAATCGCTGTCACAGAAAGAAGGGTTGCCTTCCGATCAGCTGGAAGTAGTGGAGAGTAATGACGTAGACTGATTGCCAGATTCTTCTTGATGTTAGTGAAAATTCAACAACTTCATTTACACATAAAAATTTTTTGAGTTGGTAAAAATTTACATATTGATGTATACAAGCACTTAAATTTTATTGTTATGAATATTTAGTAGGTTTTTAAAACATTTTAAATTAACGTCGAGTTGCGACGGAAGTATGCAAAGAGTTGTTGCGCTAGTGGGCGTGTTCGAATGTTTTTCCAGGAATTAAAAAAAACATTAGATTATGTTTGCCATTGATGTTAAGGCCAAAATCGGCTTTAAATATTTTTTTTTACTACTAACCTGAGAAATTGCTATTATTCACTCCATTCCCCTAACGAGAAGTAATATTTCTCACTCTAGGTAAATAATTATAATAAAAAAACACCAAGGTAAATAATGAGAACAATTCTATAATTTTAAAAATATTGACAGAAACTTTTGTTAAGTTAATTATCAACTAGAAGTAGAAAATTGAACACAGGCAATAGGCTTGAAAATTATTTGAAATTATAATTAATTGTACAATTGTGGCAAATCATGTGTATTCCAGCATTTCCTGTATTAATGGAACTAACATTTGGACCAGATAAATTCACTTCTGTATTATAAGTAATCCTCGTATTTTGAACGCATTCATTGCCATTTTTCACAATATTATCTTCAACATGGACGTTTTCAAAGACAGCGTCTTGACTTGCAGAGGAAGTTGAGGGTATACTTGAAGCTTCATTGGGTAAATTAGGTTTTTGCACTAATCCGGCAATTATCTTCTTAGCAGCTATTGATTCCTCAATATACCCTTCAGCCCCTGAACCCGACTTCCACCCACCGTGCCGTTTCAGGCTTAGTAAGTCTCCTCCATTTTCTGCGAGAAGTGTTGCCTAGCTGCGTCTTAGAGAATGACTAGTATAACACTCAGGATTTTCTAATTTGAGATAATTAGCCACGACACATGGTACTTTACTAATAGTATTGTGCCCAATATTTTGTTTAGCATGTTTACCTTTACGGTATAAAATAAATAATTTGGTCATGTCAGTTGGCCTATTAGCTAAATATTTTTTAATAACATTAACCCATTGTGGCTCAACAACAACAAACTTGATGTTCTATTTTTTTGAATTAGGAACATTTATTACAATAATATCATCGCGAACATCTAAATCGTCAAGGAGCATATTGCATAATTCATCTGTTCTGCAGGCACCGGCAATACCAATTACAATAACAACCTAAAATATAGTTCCATTAAAAAGTTGAACACAATCTAATAATGGGAAAGTATACATTTTTTGATAGATATTCGTCATCAGGAGCTTCAACTATAAATTTGTTAATTTCTTCCTTCGTAAATACTTTTGATTTCTTATAACTACTGTTTTAAGAGCTTGAAAAACTTTGAAATGTCAATATTTTCTTTTATTGCAAGTGTCGATTTTAGCATGGAATAATTTGCCCACAATGTTGATACCTCTTTGCTTTCAGATTTTTCTTTGAAATACGCTAATAAAACATTTTCTGTTACTTTAGCAACTTTCCTTTCTTCACACCATGTTTTCAGTTAATTGTATGCATTCATGTACAGTCTCTTTGATTTTTCCGGAAACAAATCGCTACTTGCACTAGCTGCCGCCTCTCTAACTTCAGGCGGGGAACACGTATACATCTCTAAATCATCGTCACTTGAATTTTAACCCATTTTTCAATGGATTATACTGACTTTTAGCTTATTCAATATGACATCTAAATTTGAGTTATGACCGCGTTTGGCAAGCTGACAGCAATAATAATCATTGTGCAGTATTTTGGTTGTTATGGAAACGGCAAATATTTTCATGGCCTAAGTAGATGTTGCGCGCTAATCATCGGCGTCGCGTGTTCAATATGGAAACCGTGCCGTTTCAATTTGACATGTAACAATTCATGGCTGACTGAGGTTATCATATAATCGAAAGAATTTTTTCTCACTATAATGGGGGATTGAGAAATTCTCCGTTCTGAACGTATGAAAGCGATGAGAGAAGTGGAACATATTATAGCATCCGTAGAAAAATTATATATATACATATAACTCGGCTGAGAAGGCTATTATTTACCTAGGTAAATAATGATAATAAAAAACACCTAGGTAAATAATGAGAAAAATTCTATATTCAGAAACACTTGTTAACGTAATTTTAACCAAAAGCACAAAAATATATATTAACTAGGAAATTCAACACCGGCAGTAGGCTTCAAAAATTATTAATTAATACCAATAAATCCATGTCACTAAAATATCAAAAATGCAATGGGATATTTCCTAGAATCATATCAAAATTTGACACATGCCAAATTTTTACATAAATAAAGCCAGTCTGATTAGAAACACGCTCCACTCTGCTTGATATTTCGAAATATTTAACAAATTGTTAGGAAATTACTTATGTCAAAATTAAAATTGCTAATATATTACTGTTATACCTCGGCTGAGAAAGCTATTATTTACCTCGCAAATAATAGCTCTTTTCTCACCCTAGGTATATAATGTACTATTAAATTCGGTAATATTGTATTGAATGAGTTATTATATGTTATTTATATGGGGTGATTTATGAGTATTTTAAAGAAATTATTTAAACGAGGTGATTTATGTGGATTATAATTGAAGTATCTGTAAAAAAAATGCTTGTCATTTGTGGATAGATTGTTTATGATTATAATTCGGTATTGACTTTGAAGTGTGACAGCAGTGTAGAGCCAGCGTAGTAAACATACTCTCACAAGTCATTCCCATTCAAATTAGCAGCCCTCTCCTTCTTTCTAATGCGGCAGCTCTGTCTGCGTAATAATAAACACAATCTGAATGATTGCAATTAAAAAGGGCCTAATTATGAATGAATGGATTAGTCTAGTAGTTTTTTGTCGTGAGAAAAAACGGTAAAAAAATAACAATTACACTAGATGGAAAAGACATTGACAAGTAGAAACATTCAAATATTTGGAAAGAAACATATATAAAGATTGAAAAGAAGATGCAACATTAAAATAATTGACGACACAACAACATTATAATGGATCTTAAACAATAGAAGAGCGGAATACAAGCGATAAAGATAAGATATTTAAGAACGATTAAAGGAGTTACTCGAAGGGCCAGAATGAGAAATAAGATAATCTAAAATATAGAACCGATCATAGACAAATAGACATTTAAATTTAAAATAATAATTTTTATCTTCATTTGTGTTTTTGCCTTTTTATTGGTTTTATTTGTTCTTTCCAAACATGATGATGACAACTTTGCGTGGTCGAAACTATTTACTAAACCATTCTTTTTTAAAACATAACTAAGAGAATATTTTTGTATATAATGTTGACTAACCTTTCGTGCACTTAATACACCTTTTTCGTGGATAGGAAGCATGCCTGATGGAATGATCGTCGATAACAGCATTCATCTCTCCGTCCCTAAACGGAAAATCTTCTTTGAAACTTTTCGTAGACGAGCTCATGTTCTCAACGGAATTTTCTGTGACAGCTTTGGACGTAGATGCTCCACTGTTCGTTCTGTCCCTGGATCTAACTATGAAGGTCCCAATAGAATGTCTTCTTTGATTGGTTTGGTTAAAAGCCGGGAAATTGTGATATCTGAAAATATAATTTTGTGGTTTTAATTCTTTTAGGTTAAGTGATGAATGTTGTAGATTATTTAATAAATGGAGGTTTAAAAGCCGAGCAAAAAAAATTAATTTAAAACTCTAAAATGTAAAAGAAAAGAAGGACCTAATTGATTTGTGATTATTTATGTTTATTAGGTAGGTATCATTTGTGCTTAATAATATTTATTTTACTTTTGTCGGAGTCTGTTGCACAACCTTTACTTAAGAATTTACAGATATTACTAATTATCTACATATTACATACAGTGCTTTTGTCTTCGGTTTTGCTTTGCTTGTTTTGGAGTGAATAGTAAATAGTGTTTGCACATGCGTGAAAAGCAGTGGCGGCTTTTGCATAAGTGAAGTAGAGCTGCAGAACTGTCAAAAGAATGCATGTATCTTGTCTACGAAATGTAAATATACGTAAAATAGATTTTATGGACAATCTCATAATTTTAATTTAATTTTAATGAATAAATAGTAAATGATGTGGGTGCTTGGGCCGCCCGCGTCTCCTCTAGTTGTTCTAGTAGTCTTGATAGGCATATGCTCGTCAAAAAATATTAATTAACAAGTTTGCGGAAACTTTCTTGGCAACAGTATTTTGATCAAAAATAAAAAAAATGTTTTAAAAATTTTAAAGTAGAATTGTTCAATACACCTTTTTTTAATTTTTGATCAAAATACTGTTGCCAAGAAAGTTTCCGCAAACTTGTTAATTAATCTTTTTTGACAAGCATATGCCTATCAAGACTACTAGAACAGCGCGGGCGCGGGCGGCCCAAGCGGTGCAGTGCACCCACACTATTTACTGTTTCATGATTAAAATTATAATAAATTTATGAGAATATCCATAAAATCTATTTTACGTATATTTTAGAAAGTTTTAAATATTTTCTGTGAAATGTAGATGAGATACTTGCAATTTTTTGGCAGTTCTGCATCTCTACAGTCTGCACTTATGCAAAAACCGCCACTGGAAACGACACAGTATCAATGTTGCCATTTACAAATCGAGTTACCGACCGGTAACTGGCAATATCGATACCACCCTCCTGCACATGCGAATGCCATTGTAAAGTGTAAAATATTCGAGAAAATATTCGGACAGGTCGATTTTTATTTCTGATCAAGCACATTTCTAGAATAACAAATTTACATTAATTTTAACCCTTTTTGCATGGCAGCTACCATCTTGACCATTTTAAAGGCTACAGGGGTAGACTGATAACTCATTTGAAATTATTTTTAATTTTCTAGTCAACGATTTGAATTATTTTAAATTTGCTTTATTAGCGTTTGACTTATTTAAGTTATCGTATGCTTAAAATATTCTCCTTTGACTTCTTGACAAAAAGAAAGTCTATTTTTAATTGCTTCTCTTACATTTGCTTACATTTTCTAAGGATTCACAAGGTTTAGTAAACTTTATAGTAACTTCACAAAATTAAATCTAATAGATCAATTTCTGATGATTTTGGAGGCTTAATATTAATGAATGCCTCAAAAAAATCTTTTAGCTAACCTACCCGGATTAAGAAATGAAAACACAAACTATTATGAAATAGGTTTATTCTATTGGAAAATAATTTAATTCAATACAATTTAAGCTGTTTTAATCAATATACATAATAATTTTGTGTTTTTTCGGTATAAAATGGAATGTATTTATTTACCATACAGCCTTGTACTGAATTTCGCCTTTTCGCATTCTTTTGTTAGGGTAAATAATATGTAAATAAGATGAATAAAGACCATTTATTCCCCCATCAACATTTAAACAATATCCAGATTCACCGCGAAATAAGTAGAAGCATCGTTTTTTTTTCCTTAAAAATATAAATTTAACTTTTCCCACTTTTTAAAATCAGTTTTTTATCAAGCATATCTGACATAAAAAATATTAAACCTGTGCCTTGTTGTTTAGTTTATTTCAAATTTTAAAGTCTTCTTTTTCTTCTTCTCCTTTATCTTCTTCTTCTTCTCTGGGCCCTTCTGCCTATTAAGGCGTCGGAAAAGTATTCCTGGTCCTCTTGTACCTATTTTTCTAGGCCATTCTGTCTCTTGCCAATGTTTTCATCTCATCTATAGTTTTTCCTTTTTCTGTTCCTACTTGTTTTATTTGATCTATCCATTTTCTCTTTGGTCTTCCTCTTTGTTTATTAGCTGATTTTCCTAATTCTAAATCTGTTTTTGTTATTCTGCCTAACTTTATTTTTAACAAATATCTATAGTAATTATTTGTGTTTGATTTTTTATTATTGGTTCTGGTTTTATTATTTTTCTAATATCCTCATTTTTTATCATATCCCATTTGCTGCGATTTTCCTTAAGTGTTTCCATTGCATTTTACCTGTTTTCGTAGACATAGGTTAATGTATGGTATTACTGAGGCCCTTCCTATGGGGCCTCAGTATTGCATTCGTTTAGACGAAAAAATTTTCTTACCCCCATTTTTTAAAACTGTTTTTCATGTTTTCGATCATTCATATATATCATTCATAGAGTCCGAAAATGCAAAAAAAAATATGTTTCGTCTGGTCGTCTGTGTGTATGTATGCCGGCACGAAAACTCTAGAACGAAAGTTTCTTGAATAATTACTTCTAACTTAGAACCCTATTGATTTTTAGAATTTTCGGTTCATCCTAACTACTTTAATATCAATTTTCTAAAAATCCGCCTATGTATTTCTTATGTGACTATTTTAGGAATTCCAATCATTTCTAACGTCTGACATTCCTAACATTCTTTACATTCCATAAATTGCAAACATTCTCTAACGACCTGTCAAACAACAGCTGTTGATAGTAAAGATGAGATTTCTAAAGCGGGTTGCGACCTTCATACTTGCAACCATAGCCATTTTGGAGGCTATTTTTATTCGAAATTAGTCGCCAAGCCTGCCAATTTATAAAAAATATGTAAGCAGCATATGTAAAAATGACTTTTTTATGGTGGTGCTAACTTAAGCATACTACTATTTCGCCCCTAGCCACAAAAACACCTTCAAATTTATTGGCTCTTTGTCGCAACCCTATAGAATAATTGCGGCCATTTTATTTGGAAAAAATCAGAATAATGCTTGGCTGTGCCTGTCAAGTATCAACTGTGATGTGTGAATTGCTCTTAAATGTCAAATTATTTAAAAATGTATGCTTCTTTTGATATTTATTGCAAATAATTTGTAGTGTATTTCAATTCAATTTGTTTCTTTTAACATAGTTGCAATACTCATCCTTCTGTCCTTTATTAATAGAATATAAATAGGCGAAGTAAGGAGCTCAAATATTTTACATGAGCAGGCTTAAGAGGTAAAGGGACCAATTATTATTGGATAAATTGCTCAAACAAGTTTTTAAACTCTAATCAAAAGGCGATATAGAATGGTTTTAAATATCAAGGCTTGTGAAAGCCATCACATGGTTTAACCTAAGTAATGCCAATGCTTCACAAACCAAAAATTTAACGTCCTAATACTACTATCGGCTTTCAGTCTTTCGTTCCAAGTTAAATCATGTCTCGTTTTTGTTACGCCACGAGTTTACCCCATGTGGGCCTCAGTCTCGATAAGGCGGGAACCACCATTTTAGCGTCTCTCGAGTTGTTATTATGTTGCGGACTTTCATTTTTAACTCCGTTTTGTCATAGTATTATTTTGTTTAGTGAATAGTATATTTTGATTGATTTGTTCACTTTGTTCGTTAATTCTGCTTCTATTTTCCCATATTCTGTCAGTATCCTTCCCAATTTTTTAAAGATTATTACGCTTTCTACTCATATGTTCTTGCATTTAATATCCTTGTAATTTTTGTTATCTATTTGCCTCTAATTTACTATAAGTTCTGTTTTATTTAGGTCCACCTCCATTTCCATTTTCTTCTATTTCTTTAGTGCACTGGTTCATTAATTTTTGCATTTTGCTTCTTGTATTTGAGATTAATCTGCGTATAAATTACTACTCAATCTCACAGGTTGTATATTTCTGTATCCAATTAACGTGTTTCATTTCGCTTTCTTCTCTTTTATTTGTTTCACCATCATATCCATAGTAATGATAAAAAGTAATGAACTTAAACAGTCTCTCTGTTTGATCCCTTTTTTCATTTAGAATTCGTCCTACCTTTGTTTTGCTATTTGTACTTTTAAGTCAAAAACTAATAAGCCAAATTTAAAATTATTTAAACTCATGAATGAAAAATTAAAAATCCTTTCAAATGAGCTATCAGTCGACTCATGTTGCTATTTTAAATTTTCAAGGGAGGAACTACCTTACGCAAGAGGTTGCAGGAATGTGCTTCATCAGAAATAAAAATGGATTGGTCCGAGCATTTTCTCGAATATTTTACCGTATTTTACAGCAATGTATAATTTAATTTTTTTGTCTAGATATACCTATAGTTTAAAGTAGATTTTTATCTTACCTAACACTTTCTTTATCGATGAACACTTCATCTCCAGAAAGGTTGTCAGAGTCAAAAGATTCTGGAAGATAACTTAAATCGCTAATGAATTCCGATTTTTCGCCCTTTAAAGAACTGGATCTACTTGGTGGGTCCTTCTTAAGGGATCTACCTGGAGCAATATCACTCAGTCTTGGTTCTCCATTAATCAACAAACTATTATTGGAATCTGCAGAATTTGTACTAACAGACCTGAAAAGTTAAAGAAACTGGACTTTAGAAAACAGTATTTTCTTGATAATACTTAAATAATTTAAATTTCTAACAAGAATTTTTAAGTTTATTATATACATTTTGAGAATGTCCTCAGAAAATCAAAGCCAAAGATTTTTCCATCAAGAGTCCAAATCCCTACTTGACCGACAAACTTATGTGCAGTTCCAACAAACTTCAAACCAAATATATGATTGTTTCTTAGATTAACAGTCTGTGTAGATCATAGATAAAGATTGTTTTATTTAAAACAAGGCCGGATCCAGGTCGACTTTTTGGAAGGCGACATTGCCATTAACCATTCCGTTTTAAGCATTTTTTTTTGTTAATAAAATGCTCATGGATTATAAAAAATTTATCTCGGGGGCCATGGTCCTGGAGCCGCCCTTGATTTAAACATACCATTTGTTTTGAATTTGTGATCAACAGTACCGACTATTTATTTCATAGATAAAAAAATTATTAATTCGTGAGTTTTTTTTTTATAAAATGATTGAGGATTTTTTTTTTCAGACCATTCTGTCGCAATTGATTAACTATCTACAAATGAAGCTGTTTTAGTAGAAGCAGAAGAAGTATTATTATGTGAAATAAAATTTTATAGAATAGAATAAATTGAAATGGCATATAGAGATGACGAACAACTACTAGGCTAATACTTTCATTTATTAAGCACGTGTATTCAGTTTGTGTTTTATGTTAAACAAGACAGATAGAGCTGTAGCCTCGGCTGCATCATTAGAAATAGCAAGACGCCCACTAAATGGAATAGGAAGGACGTTTGGAAACACCCGTGTTAAAAATGAACCAAAGAACGTACAACTATGACATCTGCTTTACACTGTTGCCACAGCGCAAATATAAATTTCGTACTTTCAGGGAAATCACATTCATCTATAATAGTTGTAACAAGAAAAAGACATTAAACTGATAATAACTGGCATATATACTTCCTTAAAGTATTTCTTTGGTGCGTCTTAGAGCACTTTATTGAGTAAATTCCCAATTGTAACCACAAATAATCCTTGTACATAGATTATCCCGTAATAATTTGGCAAATATGTGAATATGTGAATGCTTGCAATTCGCTTTTTGTAAACAAAATTGGTCTGGTGTAGTTGTTCTTCATTGGTGTAGATTGTGTAGAGGGTATAGATAACAAATATATTTTCCGAAAGTTATGTGCGTAATGACAGTCAGAAAAGCGTTCCAACAAAAATTCAGTCAGCAAACGTTTTACAAATAGTGGAGGAAGGATTGGTCATGGATTATTTGTTACAACAAACCTCAAGTTTGATTATTAAAAGCATTTTGAAATAATTATCCAATATTGGTAAATTTGGTTGAATTACAAAAAGACTATTTCATGATGGATCATAAAAAAGGTTTTATATTTAAGGTGAGTACAGCACCCCCTTATAATTTTCGGACAAGCATATCTCAAAAAGTAATTTTTTTTAAAAGTTAAAATTTTGGCCAAATAAATTAGGCAATAGTATCTAGAATATGCTTATATTTTAAAGTTTTAATTATTTTCAGTTTTCAAGAAAAAAAATCAAAGGGCTTTAAATTTTGAAATATCATAATTAAAATAAATGCGTTCTTCAATAGCAGTATTCTTAATATAATCCCCAAATTTAAGCTCTTAATCTCTTGTTAATGATTTTTTAAAATTCGCCGAAATTAGTGGCTAAAACGCCTCGTTAAGTGCTATTTTTTGGTTTAAACTAGTGTAAACTGGTGTAAATCATTGAAAGAAACGAATGATGACTCAGAGTGTACGATACGAAAGTTACAGTCGCGTTACACCAGAAAGCAGCACTTAACGAGGCGTTTTAGCCACTAATTTCGGCGAATTTTAAAAAATCATTAACAAGAGATTAAGAGCTTAAATTTGGGGATTATATTAAGATTACTGCTATTGAGGAATGCATTTATTTTCATTATGATATTTCAAAATTTAAAGCCCTTTGATTTTTTTTCTTAGAAACTAAAAATAATTAAAACTTTAAAATATAAGCATGTTCTAGATATTATTGCCTTATTTATTTTGCCAAAATTTTAACTTTTAAAAAAAATTACTTTTTGAGATATGCTTGTCCGAAAATTATATGGGGGTGCTGTACTCACCTTAAGTAAAATTCTATTATTAAACCGGTAGTTTTAAATTATGAATTACATGCAATATTTATATACCTGAGATATGTCCTTTTGTTTTTACACCATGCTTTCCCTTTAGGTGGAGTAAATTGCCTCTCAAGCAGGAACTCCGAAGCCTCTTCATTTTCTTCTTCTTTTGGAATAGAAAAGTATGAGGGATTGTCTGAAATAAAAAAGTATTTTTATAAGAGTGATTCTGTTAATCAGTCTAATAGTGATTGACGTAAATAAAAACGTATAATTTGAATTATAGACGACATTTGTTTCCTTGTTTTGTAATTTAACATATAACGCGTAACGGCTTTGCGAACAATAAATATAAAGCCATTTTACATCCAAAAAATTATTTTTTGGATATAGAAATTATAATACAATCTTTTAAAGCACATAATAGATAAACAATACAGAACATAATCACAACGCAACACCAAAACCCTAGCCACTGTAGCAATGCCTTATTGATGTTGAATCATTATTAAAGTACAATAGAAATAAATGTAATTTTCGCAGTGTAGATTCAATGAATAATTTATGTTCGTGTGCATGAGTTTTCTCAGTATACCTCTATGGCGGAACTGAAGATCAGATACTTCTATCCCTTCTACTTCAAAGTGCCCACCGTTACTTTCTTTTCTGTATTGATCACCTATTCTGTGGTTAAAGCTAAATTGAAATATTATGCTGGTGTAAATCTTGCTTTGATCGTAAATTGGGTTATTTTGCGGCGTTTCCCTAAAATAAATATCGGATATTATAGCGGAAAAGGTAGGTTTAATTAATGTTAAAATATAGTGAGGATCTTAAGCATGTCATTATATTCTAATAAATTTGCATTTTAATGCGCTGCGCCTAAACAAGAAATAATTATGATGTTTTTCCTTCTATTATTATTTTTAGAGAGAAGTGATTCAATCAGGGCTGTCCTTAGGGGTGTGCAGGTAGTGCAAGCAGAAAGGTGGTCAAACTTAAGGGCGGTCGCAGGCCGTCCACAGAAACAGTTAAATATACTTACAGTCTATTCGCTATACTTACGCGGGTTTTGGATTAACCAAATTATGCAAATTAGTCATTGACAACCAGTTCCAATGAGCCTCTTCCCAAGAAATTAGGTAAAATTGCCCTAATGGTCAGATTTAAATTAAAATAACATTAGGGTAGGTACTAAATTTGTTACAAATATTGCAGTTGAATTGATTCTTTGCAAGTGTTGACACTGTGTGTATATTGTAAATTTAGTGGAAATTTTAAAAATTCCTAGACGTGTGTTAGATGCAGATAGTCTAATTTGTAGTGTACATAAGTATTTTACGGATGAAAAAGAAAATGGCAGTCCTTTAAACTCGGTTATGTCTGTACAACAACGCGTATGCGATGCTTTAGGAATTAGTGAAACCAAATTAAGAGGAGTATTACAAAATCACAATAGTGAACTGCCGAAAGAAGATCACCGCAAAACTCGCTCATCATCATTGAAAACGAAAGATATTCCAGATGGAAAGAAATTTGAAATTCGTGATACCATTTATCGAATGAGGGCCAACAAGGTACATGTGACCTTAAATACAATTCTCTCGGAATTAATAGATAGAAAATTTGACGACATTGGCAGAACAAGTCTATGGCAAGTAATACATAACTTGGGTTTCAAATTTCAAAAGGAAGATAACAGAAAGGCCCTTTGTGAAAGAAGTTCTATCGTGCACAAGAGAATTAACTTTCTAAGAAAATATTCTAAATTTAAAGAAGAAGGGGCGAATTTTATATATTTAGACGAAACATGGATATTTTCTAGGGGTGCATTCAAGAGAATATGGCAAGATGATAACGTAAAGTCCATCAAACATATCGATGGAGAAGGAAAGCGACACATAATTTTACATGCAGGAGGGAAATCGGATTTTATAGAAGATGCTGATTTAATATTTTCATCTAAATCAAAATCCAGTGACTATCACGATAATATGAACACAGAAATGTTTGTAAAATGGTTGCATGAAAAACTTCTCCCAGGTTTAAGTGAGCCCAGCGTAATTATTTTAGACAATGCACCTTACCATTCTGAAGTATTAAACAAAAGTACAACGAATTCTTGGACTATTGATAAAATTAAAGAATGGTTGACAAAGGAACATATACCATTTCCTCAATATATATTAAAATCAGAATTATTACGCTTGGCAAATATACACGCAAAACCAAAAACCTTTGTTGTGGATCAGATTATTGAAAGTTACGGTCATCAAGTTTTACGTCTGCCACCGTATCATTGCCAGTTTAATCCCATCGAATATATATGGGGAATCGCAAAACAATATTATGACAACCATATTGGGCCTAATGGTTATAGTGACGACGCAGTTCGGGAAACTTGGCGAGAAGCACTTTCAATTGCAACTCCAGAAGTGTGGCGGAACTGTATATCCAAGTGCGAGAAACTAATAGAAGATCGTGAAAATAAAATAAACGAAATAAGTCCAATCATAATAACAATTAATGGCGATAACAGTGATGATGATGACGATTATGAAATTTTGGATGATAATGACTGATTTTCATTTTTGTTGGCAAGTTTAATTTTTTTATTTTTCATTTGAAATTCTCTATTATTATACATAGATCATATTTTCTGTGTGAAGTGTAATATAAAATTATTATTAGGTTTATAATAGCCACATTAGACTCCATTAATGAAGAAGTTTAATTCTGCTCTCAATTATACAAAAGATTCTCCATTATTATTTAATTAAAAAGTTGTACATTATTTTTTATTTCATTTAACCAGTTGATATTTCCCCAAGGAACAGGTCAAACTTTCGGGTACTCATAAAATTTTTAATCCGAAACCCGCGTAAGTATAGCGAACAGACTGTAGGTACTTTTTCAGTATATAAAATTATATGTAAATCTAAATTTCATATTCAAGGCAATTTACAGAAGCTAAACTTAAAACTCTCTATATAGTGGTAGAGTGTTGAAAATATTTTCTATCTCTACTATTTTCTTTTGACGTAATTCAATACCTGGTGAGGTATTAGCCAAAGGAGTAGTTGTTGCTAAAAGAGAAAACGCCGCACATATATTGTGACTATGGCTTTGAGTATTATTTGATGTATTTTTTATCTATATAATATTCTTATTGCAGAAAATTCGTTTTTTATGTTGCATTATAATAAAAAATTATTTACTGTATATTTCTGGTTGTCTCTACTACAAAGGAAAAGCTGCAACGTTATAGGGAAAATATTTTGTCAGTTTGTATTTTGTCGAACAAATTTTTTACCTTCTCAGTCAACACTATTATTTGTTTAGTTGACAGATAAAAGGTAAGTACTTTTTTAATACATTAAGGACAATTTTTTTTCACCTCTAAGAAAAGTTAAAAGTAACTACTTGCTGATTTAACTATAGGGCCATTGTAAATCTTCATGTAACTTTATTTAGAGACCAAATGATCGGCCCTTAATAATATGATATTACAATAAACTTTTAATAAAGGCATCTTCTAGAAATATTTGGCCTTAAATACATTTAAAAAAGAAAAAGTAGGATTAGGACTTATATCAGACGTTCGATAGAAAGACTAAACGATTTTCTGAAGCAAAAAACATAAACTGGAAATTACAAAAAGAAGAAAATAAGAAAATTATGCGAATTTCTACAAAAATAATTAAAAATTGAGTATGAAGGTGAAAAGAAAGGTCCTATATTTTTTACAAAGACAATTTATTGGCGACCGGTTTCGAAGTGATTACTTCATCTTTAAGCACATCTAAATTTAAAGTCATGGAGGTGAAAGGTGAAAATTATTTAATACAAAAATGAAAATTGAACAAAGCATGATACAGAAATAAGTTACTTAGATAAACTTGTTTTGTGTTCTCTAAAGTTTTTGCAAATGTTTCTAATATGAAATATATCTATATGCAAACTTTTAGCAGTACCCCAGTTTTAAAGTTTATTATATAAAAGCTTTATTATGTATAATCCTCTAAGCCACTTTTTCAAAATTATCAGTTTATTTTCTAAAAAAAAAAAAAATGGTAAAAAATCGTTAAAAAAAAGTGTTTGTGATGTTTTTCCATAAAAACTAAATTAAATGTTTGATAAGTAGCTCTAGAGAAACACAGATTTAATCTATGCAACGTATTTACTTTAAGAGTAGGGTATACTATCAAAAGTTTACATATGGCTATTGTAGTTAAATAAGAGACAATTGCCAATTTATTTGAAGTGGAGGGGGTTTGGTCGACCGATATAAACCTATTTAATAACTACAATTAAAGTGATTTAATATCGAGTATTAAAACTTGCAAATGCCCATCAATAAACCATTTAATAACAGTTATTAATTTATTAATATTTATTAACTAAACGCTATTAGGCGGTTCAATACCTATCATTACGCTGTTTAGTAATGACTATTAAAGTATTTAGTTTTTCTATTAAACTGTATAATACCTGTTATTAAATTATTTACTAACGTTAAGCAAAGTTTTTTATTAGTTGCTTGTGACAGCAACACAGATTTAAAAACAAAAGTTTAATAGCTGCTATTAATCAGTTTATCTGTCTCATATAGTATTCAAAAATTTAATACCCACTATTAAATGTTTAATACCCACTAGCAAAGTTTTTTCTTGGTATAAACAACATTTGATTTGTTTCCGTAAGATGAAGTCGATCCTCTATTTAAAATGTACATTTCCACAACCAAAACGATTTTTATTAGTACTAAAAAAGGAAGTCAGGGTATCTGCTTACTTTTTATTTTAATTCTTGCACCTTATTTTTTAATCTAAAAAAACTTAAACTAAAATATAGTCCGGACCTCTATGAGGGCGAGCAAACGAAGAACACCGGTGGCCCACACCAGAACAAATCACGAAACAAAAATAAAAAACCGACAACGCTAATAATAAAAAAAATTAGGAAAAGACACACCCCATAATTGTACCCAATGTAAGCTAAAAAAAATAATAGTAGGCATGAACTCATAATAAAAATAAAATAACTTTTGTAGGTACTGTAAAACTAAAACAAAGATGTAAAATATACTATCAAAGAAAACAATGTTAATAAAATAAACAAAAATCAAGTAATTAAATATTACTGAAGAAGGGCATTGATCAGTGCCGAAAGCTTGTAATCTTTTTGACCAACTTA